TCTCCAAGTTATTCCATGGTCAATTTCAGTCAATTTGACCCCCTTTAAACACCACCCCTCAGGCCCTAAGAATCTCATATAAACTACTGTATAATTCCCTACCTCCCAAGAAGAAATGTGACACCTTGGCTCATGTAATTTCTAAAACTTCAGTTAATCATCTAAAGACCTCTCTATTCATGAAGATTATTCTAATCTACCATAAAATGGTTGATGGAATTTTCCAAAATGTTAGTCAATTATATCCCTTTTGGCCCTCCCCCTCAGTCTCTCAAGCATTATGAAATGAACTATTTACCTAAAGACGCTTCTTTTCATGAAGAGCATTTGATTCCAGAATACATGGGTATTGATAAGAAGACTTTTGAAATTCCAATCAAGTTGACCTTCTTTTACCCTAGCCCCTAGATTCCCTGGTAGCAGGGACAATATGATTAATAATTCTGGTTCATCTTTTACCAAGGAACATCCTGAAAATGTCAATAAATTAGTACAGGGGTTTCAGGATGCATGACGACAGACTACAAGTGATTAGAATATATCATTTTAGACTTCGTCTCAGGTGACCTATAAATTGATAACATATGATACAACTAAAACCTTTCAATAAACCACAAATTTCTGGATGTTTTGGAAAGGCATGTATGTCCTCAAGCAGCCAACACTATTATGTAACAAGCACCAGAGGTACATAGGAGCAGTGATCCATCCAAGTGCTGATCACGCTCAATGTCCCTAAACTTCAGTTCATAGACACAACACTATCGTACAGTCACAAAAGCTAGCTTTTGGACTATGCAGCAGACGTGTCCATATCTTTATACTATCACAATACCCAGAATACAGTGTGTATGACATGATATCCTTAACCAACAGGTCCAATTTAGACTAGAAAATAATGACAGTAATTCACCTACAGAAACAATATCACAGAAATTGGTCAGTTTCTGTATAATATAAGTAGTAATAGAATCACAATATACATACAAGAAACTTTGTATTCAACAGGCCTGATTTACATTGTACAACAATAAATATATAGTATCTATTAATGACCAACCTATACATTATCATAGTCAATGTGTGAAAAATGAATTACTTGGTAATTATTGTTTATGAACACACCTTGTGAAACAAGACCATTTTGTAATCAGCAGTACATGTTTTGATGAAGTATCTAAACTAGGTGGGATCACTTACTCTAAGGAAATTTACAAAAACAAATTTTTTTAAATTTAAGATTTTTTCCCCAAAAAGCGCCTGTCGAGAGCACAAAAAGGCGGACATTTTTGGTATAAAATGTATGCACACATAAAAGGCTTGAGACAAGATTCATAAGGTAATTGTAAGTGTCTGTTTATCCTTCACATTAATCAGCTAGGAGAAGATCAACTTCAATTTATCATGTGAATCAGCACTATGAAACATTATGAGCAATATTCCAACTGATGGCATAACTACTAGGCAAGGTTCTTTGTTAGTTATACATCCCTTCTACAGGTACTTTTCAAAAAATGACTTGACATGAATAAATATAACCATTTCTTAAAGGACAATTTCACCAACTGATTTGCCTAGCTGTCTATTCATCCTCATCTTTATTGTAGCCACCATACCTACCTGACAACCTTTCACTGACAAAGCTGGTAAAAAGTACAACTGACTGACAGCCTTTCACTGAAAAAGCTGGTAAACAGTAAAACTGACTGACAACCTTTCACTGACAAAGCTGGTAAACAGTACAACTGACTAACAGCCTTTCACTGACAAAGGTGGTAAACAGTACAACTGACTGACAACCCTTCACTGACAAAGCTGGTTAACAACAGATCTATCTGACAACCTTTCACTGACAAAGCTGGTTAACAACAGATCTATCTGACAACCTTTCACTGACAAAGCTGGTTAACAACAGATCTATCTGACAACCTTTCACTGACAAAGCTGGTTAACAACAGATCTATCTGGCAACCTTTCACTGACAAAGCTGGTTAACAACAGATCTATCTGGCAACCTTTCACTGACAAAGCTGGTTAACAACAGATCTATCTGACAACCTTTCACTGACAAAGCTGGTTAACAACAGATCTATCTGGCAACCTTTCACTGACAAAGCTGGTTAACAACAGATCTATCTGGCAACCTTTCACTGACAAAGCTGGTTAACAACAGATCTATCTGACAACCTTTCACTGACAAAGCTGGTTAACAACAGATCTATCTGACAACCTTTCACTGACAAAGCTGGTTAACAACAGATCTATCTGGCAACCTTTCACTGACAAAGCTGGTTAACAACAGATCTATCTGACAACCTTTCACTGACAAAGCTGGTTAACAACAGATCTATCTGACAACCTTTCACTGACAAAGCTGGTTAACAACAGATCTACCTAAACAATTTTCCCCTAGAATGATATCTGTGACTCCTTTTTTTAATCATTTTTATTACTTCTGCTCCAAAAAATACAAATATTGAGGCATTGTACAAATTAATCTTCCACATGGAAAGGCACATTGTTTTGAAAAGCAGTATTTCATACATTTTGACACAAATTTTGAATGTGCATGTATATTCAATCCTCTTTACGTCTGCACCAAACATATAAATATTGACTTCAAAAACTGATCTACTTTGCTAAAACAACCATCTTCTAACAAATTTCCAGACATTTTCTATTTGAAATATTATGCAAACTACAAAACCTGACCCTTCCCACACTCAACTTTCAAGGACTTTCATAAAAGAAGAATAATTTCACATGAAACAAAATGAACATTTACATCATTATGTGAAACTGTAATAAATATAAGTGTACATCATGAACAGTCTTTATCTTATAATTCTTACAATTTGCAAGAAACACAAGAAATACTTGGAATGCCGGTCACAAGACACTCGTTATAAATAGAGATACTTGGGATGCCGGTCACCAGACACTCGTTATAAAGAGAGATACTTGGGATGCCGGTCACCAGACACTCGTTATAAAGAGAGATACTTGGGATGCCTGTCACAAGACACTCGTTATAAATAGAGATATTTGGGATGCCTGTCACCAGACACTGGTTATAAACAGAGATATTTGGGATGCCTGTCACAAGACTCTCGTTATAGATAGAGATACTTGGGATGCCTGTCACCAGACACTCGTTATAAATAGAGATACTTGGGATGCCTGTCACAAGACACTTGTTATAAATAGAGATACTTGGGATGCCTGTCACAAGACTCTCGTTATAAATAGAGATACTTGGGATGCCTGTCACAAGACACTTGTTATAAATAGAGATACTTGGGATGCCTGTCACAAGACACTCGTTATAGATAGAGATAATTGGGATGCCTGTCACAAGACACTCGTTATAAATAGAGATATTTGGGATGCCTGTCACAAGACACTCGTTATAGATAGAGATACTTGGGATGCCTTTGGGATGCCTGTCACCAGACACTCGTTATAAAGAGAGATATTTGGGATGCCTGTCACAAGACACTCGTTATAGATAGAGATACTTGGGATGCCTGTCACCAGACACTCGTTATAAATAGAGATATTTGGGATGCCTGTCACAAGACACTCGTTATGAATAGAGATACTTGGGATGCCTGTCACAAGACACTCGTTATAAATAGAGATATTTGGGATGCCTGTCACAAGACACTCGTTATAAATAGAGATACTTGGGATGCCTGTCACAAGACACTCGTTATAGATAGAGATACTTGGGATGCCTGTCACAAGACTCTCGTTATAGATAGAGATACTTGGGATGCCTGTCACAAGACACTCGTTATAAATAGAGATACTTGGGATGCCTGTCACCAGACAGATTTAATAGTTTGATACTTGGGAACAAAATTACAAAAATTAATATCAAAATACAATAACGTTAAAAAATGAAGGTGGGAATAAGTGATCACAAATCTGGATCATGAAGCAGTTTTAAAGCGTGATCATACACTGTTCACTAAATGTAAAATAGAAGAAATATCCAGTATTAGTTTCTTCTTGGATTGCAGATTAGGACCAGACCATTTCTTTTTGTTGATTTATCAGTTTGTAATGTGCATATATGTATTTGCAATGAGTAGCCATACTGCAAATAATATTATAGTTGTTAATTTTGGGTTCATTTATTTTTAATTTAAATTATTTCAAAAATATGTATAAACAAGAGGCCCATGGGTCTTAACGGTCACCTGAGGTCTTCAAGTCTTTGAATAACTGATATATGCATACTTACAAAGTTTTTATTGTTTCTATGTTTGAAGGCTTAATTTTCAATTAAAAGGAGCTGAAAGTAGGTCAAGGTTATTCATTTAAACAAACTTGGTAGCCCTTCATCCTGGCATGCTACTATCCCAATATTACCACCATGGGCCATTTGGTTATTGAGAAGAAGTTATTTGAAGATTTTAACACATCTGACTCTTGTGAAAGAAGGTCTCAGTCATTCATTTGAAGAAACTTGGTAGCCCTTCATCCAAGCATGCTGCTGGCCCAATACCATGACCCTGGGCCTTTTTGTTATTGAGAAGAAGTCAAAAATGGAAATTGTTTATGGACGACGCTGGATAAAAGACGATTGCAATAGGTCACTTGAGACTTTGTCTCAGGTGACCTAATAAGACAATAAAATCTATAAAAAATATTGAATTTTCTATGTCAGAGGATCTAATTGCATATAGATTCATGACAACCTCACCTCCATGACAACATCATCTCCATGACAACCTCACCTCCATGACAACATCATCTCCATGACAACATCACCTCCATGACAACATCATCTCCATGACAACATCATCTCCATGACAACATCATCTCCAGACAAAAGTTGTTGCCATGCAGACACAAACTTAATTACATGACAACTATTTATCTGTATTATAATTTCCTCTCTGAAATGAAATTGGACAAAGGAAACATTCTACTTATGTATACAGAAATCAGCAGACACATGAACTCAGTTCAAGTCAACATTTGGACTTTGACAGATTCTGAATCAACAAAAATAATGCATAATAAGAAGTATCCCGGTCAATTTATAGGCACTGTTCAAGTTAATGTATCTGATCAACTATGGAATGGCTAATTACACCAAGCTAACTCTGCAGTGCTGGGAATCCTGAGATTCCCTCTCCTCCCAAATAGTGTTCACAAAATATCGGAACAGTCTTTTGTGTGAGTGCCATTTCCATACAGTCCTCACTGAAAAAGTTGCGCATGTCACTGCTGAGCACATTTTCCAGGTAGCGACGTAAGGGCAGGATGTGACTGAGTGGACCATCCCAGACAGTCAGGAAATCCTCCACAATGTGGTGCATCAGCTTTGGGCGAGGCAAAATCTCATTCTTGGCGATGCGCGACATTTGTGATTCTGAGGAGAGAATAAAAACATTTTCTAGGTTATTTGGGGAAAATGACTATGACTTTAAGAAAGAAAAAAATAAAAAAAAAAAAAACATTTCTTCTCTGCCTTATTTTATTAGAACATCTCAACATCCTTTCCTGCTTCCTTTCTCTTTTCTTGATGAAACATTCCATTATTGTAAGCATGTGATACCAGGCCCCACTTGTACAAAACATCTCAACTTGAGATTTCCTCAAATCGAGATTTTCCTCAGCTAATATCTCCTTGAAAATATTTTGTATGAAAATTCCTCAAGGAATTTCAGGACATCCTAGCCAATGACTTCCTCCTGTTCCTTGAGAAAATTTTATACAAGCCGTTTCTGAGGAGATATCCGCTGAGGAAAATCTCGACTTGAGGAAATCTCAAGTTGAGATGTTTTATACAAGTGCGGCCTGATAACCAACAGATCTTAATCTGATCTTTATTTATGAATATTTACTTAAGATATACCAAATATAAAAAGAACTGTTCATAAGAGAGTAAGTACCATAGAAACAATAAGCATCTTACTGTGTCACCATAATTCATACTATCATTGTAACAGGTGTCTTTTTCAAAGTTAAACCAAGTACAGACACATCTTAGTATATTATCTACTGAAACATCAAGGTGAAAACACAACACAAATTTCACTATCAACAATATTACATAATGAAATAATTTGAAGCTACTAACTTGTTGGAAGTGTTTCATAGTAGTAAACTACAGGATGAAGAAAGTTGGACGTGTGGGCTTCCGATGGCTCTCCCGTGGCTCGGTCAACTCGGAAGATATCATTGCCTGGCCCTGAGAAATTGGCTCCATATTGCAGAACGACTGCGATGATTCTGGAGGCTTGATGTCCAGAGTCTTCCTCCAATCTATGGATCAAGTTGATTGGGTATTCCTCGAGGTAGACATATTCACGTCCATTACTGCAATTTCAATCAACACATCAAAACAATGTCAAATCTATGAAATTTCATTTAATATATATATCTTTGATTAAAAAACCATGTTGAAATGAAGATTTCACTTTTATCGTCACATACAAAAGAAGAGAAAAATTCTTTGAATAACTGACCACACTAAAGCTAATTCAGAGACCAAAGAGAGCACTGCCTTGACTATATGTAACATAAACACACTAGATATAACACAGACACACCAGATATAACACAGACACAATAGATATAACACAGAAACACTAGATATAACACAGACACACTAGATATAACACAGACACAATAGATATAACACAGACACACCACCTATAACAGACACACCACCTTTAACACAGACACACCACCTATAACACAGACACACTAGATATAACACAGACACACCACCTATAACACAAACACACCACATATAACACAAACACACTAGATATAACACAGACACACTAGATATAACACAGACACACCAGATATCACACAGAAACACTAGCTATAACACAAACACAACAGATATAACACAGACACACTAGATATAACACAGACACACCAGATATAACAAATAACACTAGATATAACACAGACACACTAGATATAACACAAACACACCAGATATAACACAGACACACTAGATATAACACAGACACACCAGATATAACACAGAAACACTAGATATAACACAGACACACCACCTATAACACAAACACACTAGATATAACACAGACACACTAGATATAACACAGACACATCACCTATAACAGACACACCACCTATAACACAGACACACCACCTATAACACAGACACACTAGATATAACACAGAAACACCACATATAACACAGACACACTAGATATAACACATGCACACTAGATATAACACAGACACACATGATATAACACAGAAACACCAAAATAACACAGACACACTAGATATAACACAGACACACCACATATAACATAGACACACCAGATATAACACAGACACCAGAATTAACAAGGACACATTAGATATAAAACAGAAACACCAGATATAACACTAGATTCAGACATTCTATATCTAATTCAGAGAAACAAGGGTACACTGTTTGACAAAATGTATTGTAGAGTTTGATGGCAGTAACCACATAATTGCTAGTTGTCCTGTTAACCACACAGCATCTGTTGCTGAATATGGCATTCAGACCACAAATGGAATAACCGTCTCAATAACAGCAGACAATACTCTGGGCTGACACAGCCTTAACGGTAACATTACAAGTTTATAGCAGTTGTCAATGACAATAACCAGCAATCTGCCAAATCACTGCCACCTTTTTAGCTTTCAACTTGTATTCATCATCTGTCATTACACAACAAAGTCTTACTAATTATCAACAGGCGTTTTCTTGTGTGACACAGGCAATTAGTCAACAATTACTCATTAAAGAAGACTTCCTTCAACACTACAATATTACCCTTTTGGAAACATCCATTTAAATGTACTCTTAGAATTCCACAATTTTATTCATAGAAAATAAAAAAACAGAATTCAATTTCAATCCCATAAAAGGACAGCATCTTCTATAGCATAAAGTGCATTCCAACTCGTCGTTTTATTTTGATATTAGTCATTACGTGCCGTTTATCACAGAGCCTTAGTGCTAACCAGTTATAGTAATAATTGGATCATTAATTATTGGCTGTTGCTTGAGCACTTCTCCAACAAGAATGCCACAAACATGTATTAAAACTCAATTCTGGAAATTAATGGATCTTGTTCCACCAACACAGCTGTAATTTCCTCGTATCTGGGTTACAAATTTAACTTTATTATGTCACAATAGTAAATTGATTTTCTGTTCATTCTTAATATGTCTTCATATTTTAACTTCATAAGTAAGTATTTTTTAAACTTGTACATAATGCCCTGATATTTACAAATAGAAGTAATGGCAACAAATCTGATTTGATATACTGTGACTACTGCCTCATGGTTTTATCAAGTAAAATCTTTTTAGAGAAGAATTTGCTAAAGTGATGTGAAACGATTTCTATAAATAGCACATACAACACTGAGGTATTCTGATATTTGCCTTTATGATCAGACCAAATCTGAAATGAAGCCTTTAAGTGATGATTATTATTTTCGATAGTAGTTGATGACCTTGACCTGGAAATAGTGACATGATTAATTTATCATTCTGGACTTTAATCTGTTATGTCATAAGAAGTATTGACCAAGAATTTCTAAAAATAGAACTTGTAACCATAACTGTGGCATCAACCTTGAACTTGGCACACTCATGTACAAGTTTACTTGAGTTATGATCCGATCCATGTGAAAGTTTCTATTCATGCATAATTTTCATTGATTCTAGGCATGGACACTGATTGGATGAAAATATAAAGGTATATCCTAATATGGCTTGCTAATTATGGTTATTAGTAACATTCTTTAGAGTTTATCATAGAAAATGTTATGGCACATACTCTTTTAGGATAATCACATCGCCAAGGATACCAAACATCTGGTAGGTGCCGGATGCTTCATTTAGTCTTTTGATGATGTGAGTAAGGAGCTGTGTGATTGGTCCAGTAGTAGACGGCCAGGGCACCTGGTGATATCTCCACTCCATGAGGTGGTGAAGGGCGCGTGCTGAGGGTAAAAAGGACGGTAAGGACATTGTAACACTGATCTCTTTAATAACGCTATTGTAACCCTAGCAACCTGTTGTTATCTTGCCATGCCTAATGTAAACTTCTAAAACCTCCTGTAAACCAACCACAACAGCTAAACACTACTATAACAACTTCAGCACTACTTCATACTACACCTACTATAACCCTATTATACACCTACTACACCTACTGTAACCCTACTACACCTACTATAACCCTATTCTACTATAACCCTATTATACACCTACTACACCTACTATAACCCTATTATACACCTACTAAACCTACTGTAACTCTATTATACACCTACTATAACCCTATTATACACCTACTACACCTACTGTAACTCTATTATACACCTACTATAACCCTATTATACACCTACTATAACCCTATTATACACCTACTACACCTACTGTAACTCTATTATACACCTACTATAACCCTATTATACACCTACTATAACCCTATTATACACCTACTACACCTACTGTAACCCTACTACACATACTATAACCCTATTATACACCTACTATAACCCTACTACACCTACTGTAACCCTACTACACTTACTATAACCCTATTATACACCTACTGTAACCCTACTACACCTACTGTAACCCTACTACACCTACTGTAACCCTACTACACCTACTATAACCCTATCATACACCTACTATAACCCTACACACTTACTATAACCCTATTATACACCTACTGTAACCCTACTACACCTACTATAACCCTATTATACACCTACTATAACCCTATTATACACCTACTACACCTACTGTAACTCTATTATACACCTACTATAACCCTATTATACACCTACTATAACCCTATTATACACCTACTACACCTACTGTAACCCTACTACACATACTATAACCCTATTATACACCTACTATAACCCTACTACACCTACTGTAACCCTACTACACTTACTATAACCCTATTATACACCTACTGTAACCCTACTACACCTACTGTAACCCTACTACACCTACTGTAACCCTACTACACCTACTATAACCCTATCATACACCTACTACACCTACTGTAACCCTACTACACTTACTATAACCCTATTATACACCTACTGTAACCCTACTACACCTACTGTAACCCTACTACACCTACTATATCCCTATTATACACCTACTATAACCCTACTACACCTACTGTAACCCTGCTACATTTACTATAACCCTATTATACACCTACTATAACCCTACTACACCTACTGTAACCCTACTACACCTACTATATCCCTATTATACACCTACTGTAACCCTACTACACCTATTGTAACCCTACACCTCCTATAACCCTACTACACCTGTAACCCTGCTACTAACTATAACCCTATTATACACCTACTGTAACCCTGCTACACTTACTGTAACCCTATTATACACCTACTATAACCTTATTATACACCTACTATAACCCTACTACACCTACAGTAACCCTGCTACACTAACTATAACCCTATTATACACCTACTTTAACCCTACTACACCTACTGTAACCCTATTATACACCTACTATAACCCTATTATACACCTACTACACTTACTATAACCCTATTATACACCTACTACACCTACTGTAACCCTACTACACCTACTATAACCCTATTATACACCTACTACACTTACTATAACCCTATTATACACCTACTATACTTACTATAACCCTATTATACACCTACTATAATCCTATTATAAACCTACTACACCTACTCTTACCCTACTATACACCCACTATAACCCTATTATACACCTACTATAACCCTATTATACACCTACTACATTTACTATAACCCTATTATACACCTATTACACTTACTGTAACCCTATTATACACCTACTATAACCCTATTTTACACCTACTTTAACCCTATTATATACCTACTGCACCTACTGTAACAATAACATAAACCTCTCTAAATTCTGTAATCTTTCAATTAGCAAAAAGTAACAAAGTAAAATATAATATAGAAAGGAACAAAGTAAAACATGAGATAGAAAGTAACAAAGTAAAACATGATATAGAAAGTAACAAAGTAAAACAGGAGATTGAAAGGAACAAAGTAAAACATGAGATAGAAAGTAACAAAGTAAAACATGAGATAGAAAGTAACAAAGTAAAACATGATATAGAAAGTAACAAAGTAAAACAGGAGATTGAAAGGAACAAAGTAAAACATAAGATAGAAAGTAACAAAGTAAAAAATGAGATAGAAAGGAACAAAGTAAAACATGATAAAGAAAGGAACAAAGTAAGACATGAGATAGAAAGTAACAAAGTAAAACATGAGATAGAAAGTAACAAAGTAAAACATGATATAGAAAGGAACAAAGTAAAACATGAGATTGAAAGTAACAAAGTAAAACATGATATAGAAAGTAACAAAGTAAAACATGAGATAGAAAGGAACAAAGTAAAACATAAGATAGAAAGTAACAAAGTAAAACATGAGATCGAAAGTAACAAAGTAAAACATGATATAGAAAGTAACAAAGTAAAACATGATATAAAAAGTAACAAAGTAAAACATGATATAGAAAGGAACAAAGTAAGACATGAGATTGAAAGGAACAAAGTAAAACATAAGATAGAAAGTAACAAAGTAAAACATGATATAGAAAGGACCAAAGTAAAACATGAGATAGAAAGGAACAAAGTAAAACATGAGATTGAAAGTAACAAAGTAAAACATAAGATAGAAAGTAACAAAGTAAAACATAAGATAGAAAGTAACAAAGTAAAACATAAGTAAAACATGAGATCGAAAGTAACAAAGTAAAACATAAAGTACAAAGATACATTAGCGTACAATGTAATTGTGTTCAGTTCATAATCCTTGCAATTATTCTTTTTCAATCCAAAAAACAATTTCTATCATATCAAATGTAAGCATTTATTTCGTGGATACATATACATTTTCGTGTGGATACATATAAATTTTCGCGTGGATACATATACATTTTCGTGTACATACTTTAAGATTGTTCTATTGGTACTGCTGAAATGAAAGCTGGAGAAGAAACAAGATCTGCCTATAAATACTGACCAGTGTAACGGTATCCATGAATGAAGCCTCCGGCAGATTTTCGAAAGTCCAATGAGTGGGAGGCGACGCCCACCACATACATCCCAGGGTTGTTAATAGACTGGTAATCGTAATCAATTTTGGGAAATTTTTTGGCTCTCCCTTTTCCTAAAATCAACTTTGAAGTCCTAAGAAAATAAAAAAGGAAGATGGTTATTTTATTATTTAACATTTAAAAATTTCCTAAAATAAACAGTAATTACTGAATATATAACATACAGTAATTACTGATTATATAACATACAGTAATTACTGAATATATAACATACAGTAATTACTGAATATATAACATACAGTAATTACTGAATATATAACGCACAGTAATTACTGAATATATAACAAACAGTAATTACTGAATATATAACATACAGTAATTACTGAATATATAACGTACAGTAATTACTGAATATATAACATACAGTAATTACTGAATATATAACATACAGTAATTACTGAATATATAACATACAGTAATTACTAAATATATAACATACAATAATTACTGAATATATAACGTACAGTAATTACTGAATATATAACGTACAGTAATTACTGAATATATAACGTACAGTAATTACTGAATATATAACGTACAGTAATTACTGAATATATAACATACAGTAATTACTGAATATATAACATACAGTAATTACTGAATATACTGAATAATACGTACAGTAATTACTGAATATAACGTACAGTAATTACTGAATATATAACGTACAGTAATTACTGATATATACAACATACAGTAATTACTGAATATATAACATACAGTAATTACTGAATATATAACATACAGTAATTACTGAATATATAATGTACAGTAATTACTGAATATATAACATACAGTAATTACTGAATATATAACATACAGTAATTACTGAATATATAACATACAGTAATTACTGAATATATAACAGTATTTTCCTTATCTATAACAAATAGCATTTACCTCATATCTAATTACTTATATAGCATAAAGCAATTACATAAAACATAACATTAAGTAATTACCTATGACATACATTAATTACCTAAGATCATGTACAGTTACCACCAAATACACTCAACTGAAGCTAGGTATTTTTAATGCTTTCAACTGGGTTTCTTGGGGTCAACTTCTACATAAAGTGCTATAAAATTTGACAATAACTGCAATTTGCTTTCAACCTCCAACAAGATGAAATTAATAATACACTTAAGTGTATTTTTAAAAACAAGTTCCTTACACATGTAACCTTTCAAGAGATTGGCTTCAAATAATGTCTCAAAGAGATTTACTTAAGCTTGTTAATATCAGAGTGTCTATGATAACATCCTGTAAAAATGTAGGGTAATTTACGTAATAAATGGGTCTGATAATTTACCCAGCATTCTGTTGGGCAAGCCATTTTCTGTCCATCTCAGGTTTACTTACTCATTGAATATAGAGGTGTCAAACTTAAAGCCCAAGCACCTGACAATGCGATCATATGGCTCACGAAGTGCAAAGTTATCAAGGGGAAACATTAAGTCTTCTTCTTCGTCTTTGAACTGGAGAATAAACTTGGATCCTTGTTTGACCAATTTTACTTCATCAAGTCCTGCTTCTAGGACGCCATCAAGGGATTTGAGCTGATAAGTGTCTAGTAATCCATTGTTTACAGCTCTGTAAAAAATAGTTAACAACACATAGTAATAATGATTATATATACATCAAATTAAGGTTCTGTATAATAAGACACATATTAATTTAAAGAAAAAAAAATGAGATGTAAACATCAGTAAACAAATAGTATTTTGTATATGTTATGGTCAGCCAATGTAACCTGAGATAGACCAACCAAATATCCATCAGTATTCAAATTTTTTCAATAGGCAGTAAATTGATTTTTAGTGAAACTTTCACTGGTCTAAGAATTCTCCTGCTGTATAACTGTTCTGTTTAAAGCTCTAAAACAGCATTACTGAGAATATACATGGCGCTTGATTGGTTATAAACAACTGGAAATTTGATTGGTTATAAACAACGGTAAATTTGATTGGTTATAAACAATGGGAAAATTAGATTGGTTATTAACAACAAGCAATTTGATTCTTTACCTTAGATCTCCAACATAGTGTGTTGCCCAGGCTAGTCGAACTCTTGACCTCCCAACCATATGTATTACATTTGTTGAACCATATATTGAATCAGCTACTTCAAATGCTGCATTACCTCTACCTATTAAAAAAAGGAAAATCCATTAATGTGTTACATTTGTTAATGATGAAACATATGAAAATGAATCACAATAATGCTATCCAGTAGATATGACCAAAATCTGTTGAGAAGTTCTCCAGATAGAACAACGATTTGGTACAGGTTATGACAGGAAAGGACAGACAAATGCACATGGATTACATTACATGTCCTTCTTCCTTATAAAATGGTGTGGGCATAAAAACATGAGTTAAACTGAAGCATGTTATTATTTACATGGAAGCATTAATGATAGAATTTGCACAAATAATCAGAGTCCAAAATTTGTCTAAATAAGAAATATTTTCCATAAAAAAAAAATCCACTTTCAAATTACCCAGTACCCATATTAATTTCTAGTCACCAAAGAAGCATCTAAACCAAATCTGTGTTAAAATGAATACATATTTGCTCTACAATGGCAAATCAATGCTCACACCAAACCCTTGACTTTAAAATTATGTTCATAATATTCATGATATATACTGAATTTCAACAGTGAAACAAAACCTAAACCTAGAGCAATGCCAGACACCAATACATTAATACTTCCATGTCGATCAATAATGGAAGGATCCCCCTTTTCTAAAGAAATGAGTTAAAACCTCATACAATATGGCAAGTCTTGTCTCATCTGACTCAAGTAAAGTGGAGAATGTCTATAGGGCAGACAGTACCTCCTCAAAACTACTGGTCTAAGAAAAGTACTTTGAGAAAACCTTATTTACTTTTTAGCTGTCCCTTATCATGGACTACTTATGATTTTTTGAATGAAGAATGAGAAAGATGATTTAGTGAGAATATAAGTCTAAAAAAAAGAGGCCTAGAGGCATTGATGTTCACCTAATGTAAGTAATATAAAATACAAGAGGTCTAGTGGCGTTGATGTTAACCTAATATAAGCGATATAAAATACAAGAGGTCAAGTGGCATTGACGTTCACCTAATATAAGCGATATAAAATACAAGAGGTCAAGTGGCGTTGACGTTCACCTAATGTAAGTAATATCAAATACAAAAAGTCTAGTGGCGTTGACGTTCACCTAATGTAAGTAATATCAAATACAAGAGGTCTAGTGGTGTTGATGTTCACCTAATGTAAGTAATATCAAATACAAAACGTCTAGTGGCGTTGATGTTCACCTAATGTAAGTGATATAAAATACAAGAGGTCAAGTGGGTAATATAAGCGATATTCAAGAGGTCAAGTGGCGTTAATATAAGTAATATCAAATACAAAACGTCTAGTGGCGTTGATGTTCACCTAATGTAAGTGATATAAAATACAAGAGGTCTAGTGGCGTTGACGTTCACCTAATGTAAGAAACATAAAATACAAGAGGTCAAGTGGCGAAGACGTTCACCTAATGTAAGAAATATCAAATACAAGAGGTCTAGTGGTGTTGATGTTCACCTAATGTAAGTAATATCAAATACAAAACGTCTAGTGGCGTTGATGTTCACCTAATGTAAGTGATATAAAATACAAGAGGTCTAGTGGCGTTGACGTTCACCTAATGTAAGAAACATAAAATACAAGAGGTCAAGTGGCGAAGACGTTCACCTAATGTAAGAAATATCAAATACAAGAGGTCTAGTGGTGTTGATGTTCACCTAATGTAAGTAATATCAAATACAAAAAGTCTAGTGGCGTTGACGTTCACCTAATGTAAGTGATATAAAATACAAGAGGTCTAGTGGCGTTGACCTTCACCTAATGTAAGAAATATAAAATACAAGAGGTCAAGTGGCGATGACGTTCACCTAATATAAGCGATATAAAATACAAGAGGTCTAGTGGCGTTGACGTTCACCTAATGTAAGTAATATAAAATACAAGAGGTCTAGTGGCATTGACGTTCACCTAATGTAAGCGATATAAAATACAAGAGGTCAAGTGGCGTTGATGTTCACCTAATGTAAGTAATATAAAATACAAGAGGTCTAGTGGCATTGACGTTCACCTAATGTAAGCGATATAAAATACAAGAGGTCAAGTGGCGTTGATGTTCACCTAATGTAGGAAATATCAAATACAAGAGGTCTAGTGGTGTTGATGTTCACCTAATGTAAGAAATATAAAATAAAAGAGGTCTAGTGGCGATGATGTTCACCTAATGTAAGTAATATCAAATACAAGAGGTCTAGTGGTGTTGATGTTCACCTAATGTAAGAAATATCAAATACAAGAGGTCAAGTGGCGTTGATGAAAAAGAAATTGTAACATTGATGATTGTCAGCCAGTGTCAATAAACGCATACCATCAAAATTGTCATCCTATACTAAAAAATTTTTGCAAAGTTATTTCCAGTGGGAAAAAGCAATGTTATGCTCAAAAATACAATTGTTCTATAAGAGTTATAGTTAAGTTAACCTCCTCCCCAGGAAGAAAGTGAGATCCATTTTGGTAATTAAAGCACCTTAAGAAGAGCATTTGATTCTACCATACCTGGGTACGGAGAAGATTTTAAAAATCTATTTCAATTTGATCCCTTTTGGCCCCACCCATCAGCCCCTGGGGGTCAAGCAGTTTCCAATTGAAATAGAAAAAATGATCAAAATCCTATTTTGCCTATTTAAACTATAACAAACTTTGCCCCTTCCCTACAGGGAAATAAGAGACCCTGGGGCCCTGGCATTCACACTTCTGGTAAAGCACCTTTAGATGCTTCCATTCATGAAGAGTATTTGATCCTTCCATATCTGGCTGTTGAGAAGAAGATTTTTGAAATTTGAGTCAATTTGATGCTTTTGGCCCCACCAAATGAGAATGAAGTAATGGAAGTCAACCTCCAATATTGAGACAGCTGGCCTGTGACAGAGAGATTTCTGTCAAATCACTGAAAACATCAATATGTGGTGTCGCCATGGTTTGGACAAGATGCAGTACATTTTATTTTTAGAATGTAACCAATTTTGCAAGATTTTCTCTTTCTAATGTCTATTTTAAGTAATGTCTTACTTATCTATAATAAGTCCACAGAAACAAGGAAGTAACATTTTTAGCATGTGCAGTATTTTTAGGTCTCCTACTGAACTACAATAGACAGAGCCAATAACAGGTATGGATTTACAGCTGGATCAATACAGTACTACATAGACAACAATAGCAGTCTATTTTATATGAAAAAATGCTCTCAAAGACTTCCACTCATTACTACAGGAGAAAGACACAATTATATAGAGGGTTGGTGATATGGGGAATAATGTCAGTAGAACACCAAGACACACTATGAATGTTCTTTTTTTTTTTATCAGTATTGATTCAAATCATGTACTTTTTACTCATTATACTGTTAACAGAGCATATATACAATTAAACAGCAAAGGTCTTACAGGATCCAACACCTATATCTGTTCACACTAAAAATACTTTTCTGCAGGGATAATATTTTGTATATCTTTGTAAGATCTGACACTTCCAAGATAATCTTTTGTATATCTTTATAAGACTTGACACTTCCAAGATAATCTTTTGTGTATCTTTGTAAGACCTGACATTCAAAGAAAATCTTTTATATGTCTTGATAAGATTTTTTGTAAATCTTTGTAAGACCTGACATTCAGAGATTTTTTGTAAATCTTTGTAAGACCTGACATTCAGAGATTTTTTGTAAATCTTTGTAAGACCTGACATTCAGAGATTTTTTGTAAATCTTTGTAAGACCTGACATTCAGAGATTTTTTGTAAATCTTTGTAAGACCTGACATTCGGAGATTTTTTGTAAATCTTTGTAAGACTTGACACTTCAGAGATAACATTTTGTATATCTTTGTAAGACTTGACACTTCAGAGATAACATTTTGTATATCTTCATAAGACTTGACACTTCAGAGATTTTTTGTAAATCTTCGTAAGACCTGACATTCAGAGATAACCTTTTGTAAATCTTTGGAAGACTTGACACTTCAGAGATAACATTTTGTATATCTTCATAAGACTTGACACTTCAGAGATTTTTTGTAAATCTTCGTAAGACCTGACATTCAGAGATAACCTTTTGTGTATCTTTGTAAGATTTGACAATTCAGAGAATACCTTTTGTGTATCTTTGTAAGATTTGACACTTTAGAGATAACCTTTTGTATATCTTTGTAAGACTTGACACTTCAGAAATAATTTTTTGTATATTTCTGGAAGACTTGACTCTTTAACTATACTCTTTTGTATATCTGAAATTTGTAAACTTTGACACTTTTTTTGTTTCATTAACAAAAATATTTAACCACTAGAGCAGATAATAAGAACAAAACAGAAGAAGGACCTGACATTACCGTAAGGTAGTGTAAAAGAATAACTCCAGGAGTGGATGAGCCTGATGGTTCAATAATCTGGGGTTATTACAAAATATCTTTTCTAAATTTTTTAGTGACCACAGCTGTATGGAAGCACACAAAAAATGACTTGTATACTAACCAACATGATAAGGAACAATTATAAACAAGACTTCATCAAACAGTGGTTAAGTTTGGTGCCACATAACCGGAGTTAACTAATTACCTCCCTGTTAAATATCACATATCTAGTGTTAATCAATGATACTGCCTCATAGCTAGTGTAAAATAATTAACATCTGGTTCACAACAGTAAATTCATATTACACTTAAATTATAACAGGATATTGTATAGCTAACATTAGGAAAAACGACTGACAAGAGAAGATACAGAAATAAGAAAAAAGAAATGACATTCTTTAAGCTGAAGTGAACGTGCCTAGAGATAAAAGTGGTTCTCTCTCTCCCTATGGAACTTCTCTGTATACATGTGGATCAACAGTATCAGCTATCTTCGACACCTAATTGCTACTGAACACTCCCTTCTCCAACATATCAGTGGGTTGGGTACCTACAGGCACGTGGTTCTGACACCCACTCAAAAGGTCTGATGCAGTCGCTTCTCCACAACATCAGTAATCAAATGACAAATTGCAACATTTACGAGAAAGTGTCAGAATATTGATTGAGTGTTTCCAACAATTATG